GGATGCGCGGGGTAGGAGGAGGATGGCGGCGTTCCGTATCGTCGAAAACAAACGGGGCGAACGGAAAACTCCGAATCCCGGGCCGTCGGAAAATTAATTTGATTTCCGATACGCGAATGTAATGATCGAACGAGAAAAAGGGAGAAAGAGACGGAGGACGGCTGCGCTCAATGGCACGGGGCGGAAGGAGGGTCAGAGGGTAGAGGGAGGAGGGGGTGTGCGCGGGGCGAAGGGGGACCGGGGATACAAAAAAGGGATGGAAGGAAAAAAACCTTATCGAAAACGGGCCCGGGGTCGTCGCGCATCTCGCCGGCCTGCCCGCGAACGAGAAGACTTTCCAATTATCTATGTTTTTCTCCACCGCGCGTTTTTTCGCGCTGCAACAAATTAAACGTAACCCACATCCCTGGGGCACGCTTCTCGATTACTCTTTGTTTTCCTCCTGTTTCCACGGTTCGCCGTTTGCTTTCGCGCGCGCGGGCACGTCTGGCAGATTGCATTTCCACTCCTCCTCCGCCCTCCGCGCTGCGCTACGCTACGTTACGCTACGCTACGCTTCTCTCATCTTTCTCTCTCTCTCTCTCTCTCTCTCTCTCTTTACCTCTCCCACGAAAAAAATTTTTTTCCACCGACACTCGCAAAATTTTGCGATCCGGCGGCGTTCCGAGCGTGATGGGCGGTTTGGCCCACGGCGCCGCGATTGTTCCTTTACGCGGCGAATATAACTTTACAGGTTTTGGTCGGACGAAGTAATAATCGTTTGCGGATTTTCCAACATTCGTATTTCACCGATTGTATACATCCGTGTCAGCGTCCCAAAACACAAATCTTCCAGAGACAACCTAAAGATATTTAGAGGACGTTCCAATGTCCTAAGATACATAGGATACCCGTAGAATATCTTGTGCTATCTGGGCGTGTACACAAATTGTATTCGAGGTACACGAATGTAACTGCTGTATGCAATCGCGACACTGGTTGCGTGTATTTCTACTTGTGATTTAACATCTCGATTCGCCGCGTATCGTGATCGTCGTGGGGACGAGGAGATCTTTTCGGCGCAGCCGTGATTGGTAACGTCGGCTCCACTTCGACATACTCGTGATCCACGAGCTTTGACACGAGTCGCCAATACACGCAGAACGTACGAGGAGGAGGAATCCTCCTGCCTCCTCCCCCGCGGCTGCGAATCGCGCGCCCCGACTTATTAATTATCCTTTTAATTATCCGCGGGTGTCGGGCGCGCGTGTGAAATTTCCGCGAGGCGAGTCAAGAGTGGTTGCGAGCGAAAGGGAGGAGAGGTAAATGGGGTGCGCGGGATGAGAGAGCCGAGAGAGCGACGGATCGAATCGGAGTGCGGTGCAGCCAGAAAGGAGAATGAAGAGAGAGAGAGAAGAGGGAATGGGGTGAGGGGAAAGGGGTGAAACGAGGGAAAATGTCGAGAGCACGCTATAGAAACGCGGGTGAGCGGGAGGGCGGGCGGGAGGTCGTCCGATCACCCTATCAAAGGCTCGCTACTAAAAGATCCATATCGAGTAACCGGAGGGGGCGAAATTATCGGTACAACTCCTATTATTGGGTTCGGAGGCACGTGAAAATAGAAAATGAGAGGCGGACAGATGAGATCGATACCCCGCGGAACTTCTGCCGTCGAGAGAGAGAGTTTTCTCGTTATTTGATTACCGACTTACACCGACATCTTCCACCCCTCCTCCGTCTCGCCTCACCAGGTCCGTCCGAGTCAAAGTTCGAAGCGCGCGAGAGCGAGGCTCTGTTCTTCGTCGACGCGAACAAACGCGCCGGCACATCGCCACCGCCGTCACCGCGGTGGTGGTGCTCCAATCGAATCGATCTTAAAGTCCGATTAACAATTGCTGTAATCTCATCCGAGTAATTGCGTAGACACACGTAGACGTAGCAAGGATTTCATCGATTGGAACGTTTTCAAACGACCAATGACACGCGCCGTGTTAATTGCGTCGCAGTTGTCGCATCAAATATCTCCTCATCGCTCATTTTACAACAGCGCTTACGAAGCAACTCTCGCTCCTCATTCCTCGCCGCACACGTTTCCACTCTGAGAGAAGGCATGGTGCAATAGCGCGATCCCCGAAATCTCCGGGACACACGAATGCCCACCAACTCCGGACGGGACAAATTACCATCTCCCATTACTACTCCGTGGCGGTGGTGATCGCGCGTGTTTTTTCGAGGACGGCCTGAGAGCTTCGGGGAAGCGAATTATCGAGTCACCGTATTTGTTGCACGATACGATCGTCCAGCACCAACACCACCGTCGGCATCTACGTGGACGCGGAGACGAGACGCGCAGGGATCGTTTTGCAAGAAGAGAAGAAGGAGGAGAGGAGGAAGAAGAAGAAGGAAGGAAGGCATCGCGCGCGAGCCTTGCGCCACGTTGGCCGGGCGTAGTTATCGACTACATTATTAAGTCGGTATATTTCCGTGGCCGATGTTATCGATCTCGACCGAGTATCTCTCGGCTTGGCTTGGCGTGTGCATTGCCTTCTCCTTTTTCGCTCTCGCCCTGCGTCTCTCTTGCTCTTTCCGTCTCTGCCTAGTCGTCGGCAGGCGGCAAACCCACCCCCGAAGTCATCCGTTGCCGAACGAGCGGCTAAAGGCGGACACGCGCGGCACTAAGCGACAGCCACACTAACCGATTTACGATCGCGCATGCGCGCATCCACCGATGATCGCGCGCAGGCCGGATGTAGTTTACCGGGACGTATATATATGTTGTGCGGGCCGGGTATCGTGAGAGACCTCTTTGGTCTCTCGACTCTCGCCCGCAGAAATTCGCCCACAAGAATGCGTCCGCGGCGGCGAGATCGCGCCGGCCGATTCATCGATCGCTCCGAGCCATTCGATACACCCCGAGAATGTCGCGCTTCCGACCGTACAGGGGACCGTCTTAAGATCGGCGGAATGGGGTGACACTCTGAGACGTACCAACATTACGACTTAAACATATTTCTCCTCTATTGACCGGTAGAGCGCCGTCGCGCAACAATACACCCACATCTGGCCCGTGAGACGCTAATCCTGGGTCATCAATCATGAATCTTTTCACATAAACTGATTTTACACGTACTAGTAATTTTTAATGCAATTTTTTCCCCTTGTATGAAATCATTTTTCTCCTTAGTATAAAATTATGAAAAATAGATATTTCAATATACTTCCAAGGTTAGATTTCTTATTTTTACAAGTTTACACTAGAAAAAAATTCATGATTAGCCCTCTGAGCTAATATCAAAGAAAGAAAAAAAGTAAGACCCTGAGTCAGTGTCATACCTACTGCTCCTATACTCAAAGAAAAAAATGCTTGATATAACTAAAATTATAGTTATTTTTAGTTTCAATCAGATTTTTTGGTTATCTTATATGAAAATGATAGTGTCAGGTGCGCAAATTAATTCGGTGCTTTTGCCTTTAATCGCAGTTATAACCCCGCTTTAAATATCTTCCCATCGTTTGGTGGGTTTTGAAGCGTTAAGAAATGCGCTATATAATTTGGGGAAACTGGCAACATGACCTGACAAAACGGTATCAAACACAATAGCGACAAACAATGTATTAGACATTGCATTCTTTGTCCTTTTTAATTGAAAAAAATATGCTGTTGAGGCTGCAAATGTGATTTGCTCAACTTTGGGGGGAAGGTACTGTAACGTATAAAAAGTGATACTAAAAGTTTCGGAGTGGTAATACACGCAAAAAAATTATTTGCTGTAGCAGCAAATTAATTTGCTACATATGGACAGTTAAATATAATTCGCTGTGTTTGCTATTTTTTCTTTGCTGCAGAAACCTATTTTCTTGCCATGATAACATAAAAATCTGCTCCTACAGCAAGAAAAGTGACTAACGCAGTAAATTTACTACAGATGGACAACTAAACATAATTTACTGCTTTAGCTACTTTTCTTGTTGCAGGAGCAAATTTTCTTGTTATTATAGCAAGGAAATTGGCTCTTGCAGCAAAGAAAAAGTGGATAACACAGCAAATTATGTTTAGTTGTCCATATGTAGCAGATCTTTTTTCCGTGTATCTGTCTTACGGTTGAAGAACGTTCGGTCGCACATCGCAAAAGGGACACTATTTATTCGTTGGGCTAGAAAGTTCTCCCTCATGCGGCTTATTCACCTAGCCTCTTCGGATTACCATCTATTTCGATCGCTCCAACACCGTCTGGCTGATACAGACTTTAAAAGCGTGGAAGAGCTTCGAAAATGCATCGACTCAAAGCCGCCGTTTTTTTTTTTTCAAGAGGGGGGATTCGTCAGCTGCCGGATAAACGGAGCAAAGTATTAGAAAACGGTGGCGAATATTTCGCGAGCATCGACATGTTTGTTTGTAAATGAAGGTTCAATTTCTTCAAAAAAAAAAAGCACCGAATCAATTTGCGCATCCAATAGTAACAGGCATGTCAGGTTATCACTAACACTATACTAGAATTTAATAAAAAAAGTTTCCTTGATCATAATTTATAGTAATTGTTAATGTAATTACAGTTACAAATACCAAACAATTTTTTCCTCAACGCGTTGTTGCGTTATATTTTCTCGGGAGGGAGGAAAGGAAGCGAGGAAGAAGAGCGAGCGTGTCGCGAACGCGAAATTAGGATCTCGCGTGGTGACGGCGCGCGCGTTATTCGTGCCGCGGGCTTTCATTTTCAAGAAAGGTTCCGCGCGTAATGCGTTCCCGAACGAGCATTCGGCGCGCAGGTAACCAATTTACGATCGCGGCCACATATACATCCGAGCCCGCGCGCGCAGTCGTCAACCCAAATCGAACGCGAAAGGTTCTTTCGGTCGCGCATTTGGAGATGCAATAATCTTTTGAACCGCCTCACTCTTTTCCTCTCTTTTTCCTTCCTCCCCTAAATCCTTTTAAATTTGTGTACAACATGTGCTATTTTAATCGTACGTTACTTCATAACAAGTCTGATAACTCTGTGTGTTTCTCTCTTTTGTTGCAGTACTACGAGATGTCGTATGGCCTCAACGTCGAAATGCATAAACAGGTAAGCTGGCCCCACCTGGCTCGGCCTGCGAGACATTCCCCGAATGGAAGGTACCTTCGGGTGTTGTCGTGTTTCACGAGCTCATTCCGTCGTCGTGAACGATAATATCGAGTCGCTTCGGGTCCTATCCGCCGGCGAGGCGGTTAATCACGAGATATCACGTCGGACGCGTTTTAAGGGTCACCGATGAACAACTCGGCTGCTTCGTTAATTGAGCCCGGAGAGTATGTCAGTGGATCGTCGGAATCGGTCGCGGCCGCAAATGAGGGGTGCGGGTACGTTTAGACCGGGAAATGGTGTAATTTCGGCTAATCAGGGGAAACAGCGGTGGGGCGGTCCCCTCTGTCAGCAATTTTCTTAAAAGCGACCACGAGCCCCTCGTGTCGCGGCGGCGACGGCCCAACACCGGCTGCTCAAAAGTAGGTAGGGGCTCCCAAACTCCAAACAACCCTCCCTGGCTCGGCACAACGAGCTGATATTCATTAGCATTAGCGGCCGATCATTTCTCACCCTCGTACCCCGAGGCGGCGCTTAATGGGCCGAGGTGGCGGCGGGAGAGGGGGGGAAGGTGGGGGATACCGTGGTCGGGTAGTTACAGGGTGTAGAGCGCGGCGAAAGAGAGAGAGCGGGAAGGGAAGATATCGCCGCGGGATTGTTTCCGCCGGCGAGTAATGCGCGAGAAATCAGAGCGTCGTACCCTTCATGTCGGGAAGCGTCGCTGTTTTCGAGGTCGACCTCGCGCCTTTCGTGGCTGTCTTTTAAAATCAGAAAACGAGGGAGATGGGACGACAAGCGGGATTATTAGGACCCTCGACTGTTGATCGCGGAAATCGGTAAGCGTGACGCTCCCATATTTTTCATCAGTCTCCGATCGAGTCGTCTCCCGTCGCGAGAAGATTACAGTAACGTCACATAACGTGACGTCCAGAGAAAGAGAGGCAGAGAAAGAGAGTTTTTTAATTCTCAGCAGAGTTTTCTTCCAGAGCGGAGAATGCTCAGCAGAGAATGTAGACAGTGAGGTACGAAGGAAGCTTTCTTTTCTCGGAACATCGCGAGTACCTTCTCTGGACAAACGCACGTCGTCGAAATAATTGGATCGGACCGTTGAGTTTTTTGTGCGGGTTTCTTGCGAAATCCGCGGTTGCAGCCTCTCGCAGTTTTTCCGCCGGTGAAAAAAGCGCCGAGATAACGGGGTGTTAATAAAAATCGGGAAAGTGGGATCTCTCCGCGGGATCGGAGTCAAGTCGCGAGACAACGCGGCTGCACAAATTACATCGGCGGGTATCGTAACGCGACGAGGACCGCTGCCTCCTCTGACATTAATTGGAAGAGAAATGAAAAGTTATCGATTCTTTGCGACTCGCTAATTAACCGTGATAATATCGCGCCGATGTTCTCTCGGCGCACAGTGATGCGCGATTAAGTCTCCCTTGTCGACTTATTCATTATTAATCTCGATCTCGCGGATGTTTTGGAACAACGGCGCGCATCTTAATCTCGGTTCCCTGGCACGTGTAACTGTGCAAACACCGGAATCCTCGCCGTCCCTTTCATCCACCATCAGCGACTTGATTCGCACCCCCTCAAAAAATAAAGAGAGAACGTATTTATTACCTTCGCCCCAAGACGCGAGTCTCTCTCTTTCTCACCCCCTTTGCTCGGTGAAAAGGGAAAAAATAAATAAATCAGACCAGATCCTTCAGTCGATCCCCGCCACTTAGCTGGCTTTCGAGTCGCGGTTTTCTCGCTCCTTTTCAATTTGAACCCCGAATGAAAACAATCTTTCCCTACGAAGTTAGATCCATCTGTGTCTCTGTCTCATCTTCCTTCTCTCTCTCTCTCTCTCTCTCTCTCTCTCTCTCTCTCTCTCTCTCTCTCTCT